AAGGACCAGAACTGGAAAGGCAGATGCCAACAAGAACCCCAAACTACAATATGCTTTTGCCCCAATCCAGCCTACTACTGAAACACTTAAAGTTGAGACTACTTGTATGCTTAAGTCTTTGGATGAGAAACTTTGGACTTTGCCTTGTCAGGGTTTATGGCAGTAATTTTTTTTTTTATTTGGTCCTGAATGTCTTAAAAAAGAAGACACATACTGCTGTTAGCTCAATTTTACAGACAGAACTGCAGAATCCAGTCCTCCAATGCACAAATGGGTTCCTGGACTGAGGAATGATAAATTCAGGTCTCACTGCAGTCAGAGTCACTGCATGATCTTGTCCCAAACTGCAGTGTAATCTGCCTCTATCTTGGAGCTAGAGAAGTACTTTCTGCCTTAATTTCTTATTTATCGGAAGTGCTGTGATTATAAAGAGACAGGGTTTGGAGAAAGAAGTAATATATTTTTGTTGGACCAACTGACGTAGTTGGAAAAAGAAGGCAAAATTTTGACCACCAATTCTTTCTCCAGGTTGGAATCAAAAGCAGCAAAACTCGTGCTGACTAGTGGTTGTGAATGGTTGTTCTGTGTCAGTGATCCAAGCCATGCATTTAAATAGCTAAGTAAATTATTTATGAGGTCCTTGTTAGTAAAGGAGTTTATGACAAAAAAAAAGCAGTGGTCTGACAGCAATAAAGACAGACAATTTAGCACCTGGGATACAGTGTCTGTTGGAGGGAAGGGTAGCAGGCATTACAATATCAGAAAAGTCTACTGTGACATAAAACCAACTGTCCTGAGTCCGTAGCTTTTGGCATTTGATGGAGTTAGTTTTTAGTCTTACCTTTTGAAGGCATTTTGTATGTCCTGAATATCTCTTGAACTATAGACCAGAGGCGAAGTAATTGTTTAGGGAAAAGTGCTTACTAGCTGCAAGTATGCATTTTTCATCTTTTACTGGTTATCAGTGTGAATTCTTGCTGATGCATAGTGTTTAAGCGCTTCTGGGAAAAAAGTAGGTAATTTCTTCCAAAATATTGCTTCCTAGGAGAGGAACAGGCACATTTTTTTCCAGGCACGTTTTAAAATACCACCTGCTAGGAGAAAGTCTGAACTCCTCACAACCTCAAACTGAGCATCGTGAATGTACAGGGCATTTTTCTAGACTCCAAATTACAAATTGTCATGCAAATGATCAAATTTCTTTTGTATTAGCAGTTTAGTGTGCTGGTGTATTTAAAGACGTTCATACTGGTATAAACATTTGCACATCCTTACCGTGTTTTTTTGTTTTATTAGTTAAAACACAGAATAGATAGTATTTTGTAATCTGGTTGGATTTTTTTATGATAGATCACCCATGTAGCAGAAAGTGTATGACTAATAGCTGTAGAAGAGGTTTTCTTTCTAGATAGAAAGAGGGGAATTGGATTAAAACTGAATTTGCTTTTACTGAATACATTAAGTACTCCTGCAAAGCAACTACATTTTTGTTGCATGTAAGTATGATCTATAATATCCAGCTTCCATTTGCCATATTTGAAGGTGATCAACCACTTATGTCCTATAGAATTTTCCTAAAGCTATTCCACGAGAGGCTGCTAACTGCTGCAGTCGTATCTACTGCTTATTTGAGCTAGGCTCTGTCTAAAAATGTGCTTCCAAGAACTTGTCATCTGGCAGTACTTATTTTTGACAATGCCTGGTTGATCCCATAAGCTTCATGTGGCTTGCGGGGACAGAGTTTAGACTAAAAGCCTCTGTAATTTAAGTTCTACTTTGTATCAGTGGGGATATCTGTTCTGTCAATGGTTGTTTCACAACTAGTTTGACAGTCTTCAGTAAAGTAATGGATTTTGTAGGGGGAGAGTTAGCAAATCATAGAATATGGCAGAAAGAGTGGAGGACAAATAGCTGTCAGAACATCTCACAAAAGATAACAAGAAATGGGGGTCAGGAGTTATTCAACAAAGTGCATCAATATTGTAAACTATTTTCCTGCTATCAAGCTATGGCATTTGATTCACTTACTTTTGTAGTGTTTTGGATTACCTTTTCTGTCTGTGCTCAATTCTTTTATTCATTTTGGAAAAAGAAAATTCATATATGTGTATTTTGTGATCTGTTTACTTTTTTCTCAAGTGACTTTGCTCTCTCATTCTCTGACACTTTGATATGACACAGTATCCTAAAAAAGTTTTGGAAAATATTCATGGATGAAATGGTTTTGGGTTTTTTTGTCTTAGTATCAACCATGGATTAATGCTAACAGCCCCAACAATTCCAGCAGGTTGAAAACTGGTGCAGGTATTAAATTAAATTACTCAATTCCTGCCTCATAACTTCAGTTTAAGCTTGACTTTCATTACCAGCTGAAAGTCTCCGCTCAGAAAAATCTCAGAAGTTTTATGCAGGTTATTGTAATTGCTATTCTCCCTTCAAAGTCCCAGCAATGGAGCAGAGGTAGAAGGGTGTTTGGGAGTGTCTATAGGGAAGAAGAGCAGACCTCTTGCTTTTGCTGTACTTGACTTGAACCAGTGCTTTTAATTCCTCACCTGTGCAAGTACCAGATTTGCTTGCTGGCTCAGAAAATTCCCTCTAGCAATGAATGATGCCAACATTTGATAAAAGGAGTGCCTACCTCAGAAAATATTTTTTAAACTCTGTTGAGTATATTGATAAAGCAACGATGCTGGGTTAGTCAAAGCTTCCCAGCTGCCGAGTGTGCTGGTGTAGGGGCAAACGGGAAGGGTGAGAGAGCGGAGTAGCAGGAGCACCATCTGTGTGGAGGATCCAGTATGCTTCTCCTTCCCTCTCAGGCATAACTTAGACTAGCAGCGCACCAGGGCTCCGGTAAGCAATTTGCATGAAATGGGAATCTGGAGTTAGGCAGCCAAACATTGCAGAACATTTTTTTCCCCTCCTAGTAGTGTACAATTAGGAAGCTACGTTGGAATAACGTTAATAGGAGGGTGGGGGTGTTTAAACCCTTGCTATCTTAATGTTTGAATTGTACATGGTATCTTTTGATTTTCTTTTAGATTGTTTCTAGTGTGTTTTCCAAAGTATATAAACTACACGCAGCCACCTTCAAATTCAAGGTTAGCCAAACCATGCCAGACCTGCTGCTGAGCAGAGAGAGGTGACAGCTACGAGTACCAGAGAAAGCCCCAGTTCTTACTGACGTGCTGTGGGATGTTCACTGCCTGTGTGGAGCAGACAGATATCCTTACTTAATTGCATCTCTGCTGAAGGGCTCTCACAAGACGTGTTATGCTCCATTTATCACTTCCAGGAGTCAGCCCTGAAAACAGGAATTTATATTTCTGTTAGTTGACATTTTGCATAACGCAGCAGGACGTGAGCGGATATGGCGTGGAATTTGAGTAGGCGCTGCTCAGCATGACTCCAACAGAAAATGTACACCTTGTACTACAAAGCAAACAAAAAAGCCCCAGGATCTGCATTTCCAGGGTAACAGACTCTTAGCTGATGTACAACAGCTACAGCTCCCAAATTGCCTGGTTGAATATGGACCCTAAAACGGGCTAAGGCACGGTGCACTTGTCCCCCACAGCAGCCCTAGTGGCCCTAGGCCAAAGGTAACTCAGGTGTGGCATGCTCCTGCGCTCGCCAGCAGGCATCCTTTTCATCCCACTGCCCCTCGCTGGATACAGCGTGCTGCTCTTGTGGAAAAGAAATGGACAGGACATTTATTTGCTCAATATCAGCCTCCTGCTATCTCTCAGTGGGCAACGGGATGTGGTGTGGTAGGCCCACACCAGCCCATCCACGCTGCAGGACATATTTGGGCCTGTAATGACGATAGCACAAGCCTTCCTCTTATTTCTTTTTGGGTTTTTTTTTTCTTTTTGTCTTTTTTCCTTTACTTTTCTTTCTTTTCTGCCTTCTATGGAGCTTACCCAACAGGCATAGCTGAATGTGAATTTAGACGTAGACTACAGGCAAGTTGGGGCCTTAATACCTTTTTGTACCTTTAGTACAAAAAAAGTACTAAAGAGGTAGGTGAGAAATACAAAGCTCCACTGTTGCAGGCTCTAAGGAGATAAAGAGATTGAGAAAATCCCCTAAGAAATTCAGTCAGGATCCTGAATGTCAGAAAGCAGGCAGTAGCACCTCTATGTTGCACAGAAAATAAATCCTTTACCAGTTATCAGTACTTAAAACACAAGTATAGGGTAGTGTACTGCCAGGCTGAAAATATGCTAAGTTTTAATCCAAACACCGATTCTCCCGTGTCCCAGATGATTATGGCCTTTCCATCTGAAGTGTATAGTAACTCCACAGTATAACTACACTGCTGCTGTTACAGCACCAGAGAAAATCACCTGCTGCGTGATTTTGTTGTTGTTAGGAAAATTGTGGTCAAGTGTTGTAAAGTGTCTAGCCTGGCCTGTTGCTCTGCATTAAACAGGACCAGTGACAAAGGCAATCATCTTCTCCTTTTCCGTGAGTTTATTATGCGCCATAGCTCCTTGCAGAAACTGCCAGGGCTTTTGTCACTGTTCCGTATTACGAAAAAATCCTCTAGATTGCCTGCAATTAGCCATGTAAAATCGAGTTTATCATTCCACTGAGTGCTATGTGGTTACCCATAAACTTGCTCTCTGATACCAGAGTAGAAACAATAAACTGATATGTTATATACAGAATCAAAGTAGAAACTATAAACTGATAAGTTATATACAGAATCATTTAAATAGCTGTGTAAAACCTCACTGTGAATTGTATTTTTTTCTTGCACCTTGTCTAACACTATGAGAATTTTAATGGAACTTGACTGGAGCACATACTGCCTTTGAAAAAACTTGTAATTTTTGTGAGAACCCACGCTCAAAAAATACTAACATCTGGTTTGTGTCAGCAGCACATTTTAATTTTGTATGTTCATTGTTACCAGTAAGGATAAAGAGGTATAATAAGCTTATGTGATTGAATGATTGTTATTTTTTATCTGAATAACTGTATGTTTCTTTTTACAGAGAGAAATTCTAGAACAGCAACAGCGAGAGAGATATGACATAAGTTTTCATAGTATGTGTATGTTCTGTGATCAAGAATTCACAGGAAACAGGTTTGTTTATTGACTTGTTTGCTTTTGTTTTATTTTTTTATATCTGCTCAGCATCTTTGTTTATGGTTTTAATGTCATGGAACCAGTTACTGCCTAATGGTAGGACTCAGAAGATAGAATTAATTTTAAGATATAGTTTAAGTATTTCTTTCAACTGCAGTGCCATTTTAAATAGACCCCCTCCCCCTTCTCAATCCTTTAATTATTCCGGTATAGCTTTTTATACTACACAGTAAGCTGGAGTTGGGAACTGAACCATTTTAAAGAGACAGTTTTTCAGCAGTTGTTTTAGTGGCAAAGAGAGCTGTTTAAGCCAGTATGGCTGTTAAAAAATATTTCTATCCAGTTACACATTTTCCTGTTTAAAACTCACCAAACCAGTGTGAATCTGAAGACGGAATGAAAAAGAGGGGAGGAAAATTAGAGTGAGAATGGAGTGCTTTGCATCAGTCACATGCAACCAGGAGTTGCATTCAAGTGCTTGCTCCGATGAAAATTTGGTTTTACACAGTGCATCTGTTTCAGCTGGAGAGACTGAGTCTTATCCCTGAATGTCTGTTTGCATGGGTACTTCTGGTACTCTAGAAAGGTAGAAGACCCTGGGGTCATGTCCCTGCAGGTCATCTCAGTGTTGTGTGAGTGTCCCATTCTCTTTACTGCCTAGTGTAGTGAAGTTCACATCATTCAGCCCCCATGAACTTCATCCTCTGCTTACTCTTGGGTCTTACAGAATACGTGATTTGAAAATCGTGCCTGGACTGTGGTAAAAGCAAGGCTCAGCAGTGTTAACACTTGGATGTTTCTTTAGTCCCCAGATGCAGAAGTTGAGGCACCTAAGGAATTAACCAGTATACCTCTATTAGAAAAATAACTTACTTGAGCATCCGTTATGTTTCATCATGCATATTGTCGAGTGCTGTTTGTGTTGCTAGTGCTGTGTGAAGCAGTATTGATGTAAAAGCATATCACACCCAAGAATTTCTGCGTTGTTAATCAGCGTAGAGAAAACTGACAAATGGCTTTTTAGAATGTTTCTCAAGACGGTTGTTTGAAACATGATTTGCTTATTCAAGTTAATAAACGAGCTTTGCTAACAGTGAGAGTCAAAATAAACTGTATTGTAATTTTCATTTAAAGGATTATATTTCATGCATGCGGATTAAGCAGTTGAAATGTTACTGAATGTTCAGCAGAGCTGAAATTGAAAACTTCCTATTTCAATAAAGTTGCATTCTTTTTTTTCTAGCAGTGGCAGCAACACTATTATTGTTTATTTAATGTTGGCTTTTATGCATTTTTAGAGCAATTGGTTTATTTCGAGTCACTAAGTGAATAATTCTCATATGCATTAAAAAATATGTAATGTTCTTTTTGAATGTCTTTTGTAGATCTGTCCTTCTCAATCATATGGCAAGAGAGCATGCTTTTAACATTGGGCTGCCAGATAACATTGTGAATTGCTATGAGTTTTTGGCTGTATTACAGGAGAAGCTCGACAAGTAAGTAGTTTCTTGTTTGGTTTTTTTAATGGACTTAGGTCATATTTCTTTTAACCTTGGAAATAAGTTGAGTTAAAATTAATTCAACATTAATGGTTAGTTAAGAAGAAACAAAGAGAGAATGTAAGTTTATTGTGAGTGCTCTTAGAAGCTGATTCATAACAATTTGTAGTATGTGTTTGCTGGAAAAATGGAGTCACGCACAGAGCTTCAGTTGTTATGCATTGCACAGTTTCCATTGACATCAATAATATCACATCCCTTTTTCTCATAACTGTTAGAGTTAATATTCTTCTTTCTCATCATAACAATCTTTTTGCTAAACATCTCTTTAATCACTGAATGCAACGTTCTTATGCCAGTCTTCGTTTGCCTCTCTATATATCAATGATGAGGGATGTTTGGTCTCTCCCTTCTCTACTGCTTACAGAGCCCATCCCAGAGCAGAAGGGGAAAGCCAGTGTATATGCTGCCTCAGAAACATGTAAACCTGAGATGGCTGAAGAAATTAAAAATGGAATTTGGGAGAAGAACTTGGGTAGCAAAAAGCAAGAAACTCTTCACTTTGAGTTTCCTTTGCAAGTATCTAAGTGCCCTTTATGGATTTCATAAATGAGGCAATATGAATTATGCCACAAATATAAATTGGGCTCTAGCAGAAAATGTACTTCCTTAAGAGTGAAACTGTAGCTTTAACAAGTTTATTAGATTTTAATACAATCTTTTATCAAAGACTGTAGGAGAAATTTGCCTAAATCTTAGGCTTAGTTATGAAAAGCCACAGAACACTGGGATTTGTGAAAATTGGGATATGGAAATTAGATTAAATATCCTGCCAAGTAAATTTAGGATCCATTGGTATGTACATCTGAAAAAAAAAAAGAAGAAAAAAGATTCAAAGGACAGGAAAGCCAACAGTGTTCTCTAATTTAGACTTTGACCTGACAAAGAATGTGCAGTCCCAATAGATACAGGTTAACTTCTTCCAGAAATGAAGATGTATTAAGAATGCCTTTTATGTTATCATAGGTGTTGCCTAATGCACTGAGGTACCTTGCTCACTGATAAATTGCAGCTTTACTATTTATCAGTAGGACCTGAGAGTTTCGTTTAGATGGAGGTTTCTCAAAGCCAGTCCTCTCTGTAGTTAATACACATGCTGAAATTGGTTCCAAAGCAGTGAAAGGCCACTCCTCCTACTGCTAAGAAAAGACTTAATAGCCATGCTAGTAGAATAGTACCTGAAAATACTATTAAGAGGAGAAAAATCTTGTTTCAGGCAAATAGCATGACTACATTGTGTATGCTGAGGAAAAGCATTACATACTCTTCCTGAGAATGCCTTTCACAAGTAGAGCAAATGCTTTGCTGTTAACAGGTGGAGCAAAGCAGATACTAAAATTCATAGATGTATTCTGCCATCGGACCTATGATTCACCAACAAGGCAATATTTAGATTTTGAGGCTGCAAGCACAAGGAGAGCTCAAAACTTCCTTAACAGTAAGCCGAAATGTTACAGCAGTTCTTGGAAGGCAAAAAGATACTGAGAATCCTGAATTGCTGCTCCGCACACAAGAGCTGAAGGGGGAATCTGGATGCACCTTTGCTGAAGGAGTATGAGGGTTTTCAGGGTGTAGGTACAGACCTTCTAGGCACAATATTAATGGGTTTTGTGGGGGCAAATCCTTGAATAAGAACATAATTTTCTTCTTTAACGTCTATATCTTAAACCCTGGGGAAATCACAGAAAGGCCTGACACAGACACTGTTAAAATTCCTTCTGACTGTACAATCAAGCAGGCTTTCATCTGTGAGTAAAGAAAAAAAAAAGGCGATCATTTTAATTCAGAGCCACTGCCTTTTTTTAATATCTGTGGGTTTTGTGTCTTAAAGTGCTGTCGTTTATCCCTCCCATAAATTTTTTTTCCCTGCTATCCAGCATCTCCGATACAAAGATATAATGCCACAGCTACAAAGTTTTTATTTCATGAGAGATTATTTTCTAGGAGTTTTCCCTATCCCCCTGCGAAGATAATTTTTCAAACAGCCCAAAAAACTATCTCTATCTTGGTAGGATAGGTAAGCCATCACGTATAAGAAAAATGTTTTAGCACCTTGGCTAACTAGAGGCTCAAGACCTACATCCATTAAACAAACATGTTCCTGTAAGCTCAGGGCTCTGCTACGTTTCTGCCAGAAAAAAATGACCATCATCTGTTTCAGGGAGAATCGCCCATTTAGGCTGAAATGCAGACTACTGTCCTCATAGTCCACTGTCTGAGTCAAGAGACCTGACTTAATGCTTTATAGGCTCAACTTTCAGGTGTCAGTTGATACTACAGTGGAGAGAACAATTATTTTATAGTGCTCATAATAGAGAATTTAAGACAGCGTGTATACTTCTGTTTTGTTTGAATTGCTCTGGAAGACATACTGTGGTAAAATTCTCATTTGTTAATGAATGTTTTCACCTTCTCAAGTAATGTGTGTGTATAAATAATAATACATGTCTATATATGTGTGTATATGTATGGACGTATATGTATGAACATATATGTATGTATATACATATATATGAATTATTATATGTATATATGTGTGTATGAATTATTTACTAAATTCGATTTCTCAGGATTTCAAAACCCATTGATCACCCTAGCAAACTTTCATTTAGCCTCCCTGTTGAGTTAAAAGTATAAAACTTTCTGTTTAGCTAATTTAAATTGTTTTTAAAGATATGTAGCACATTCAGAGTTCGGGTTTTTTCACTCTAAATTGCACAGAAGCAGTTACTGATGGAATGGATGCCAGTATAAGTGCATGCTGAGTTAAGAGTTCACGTGTTGACCAATCAGTGGCCCTCCCGTGCCCTTGGTAGGACAATTTTGGGTAATCAGACTTTTCTCCCACTTTGCATGTGGGGCAAACACTACACTTTTTTATTATCTATATTTTCATTTTATGTCATTTTTGTCATCTCTGTGTTTGATTGACTCTGCTGTGATCTAAGATTATCCTGTACTTTTTTTTTCCAGATAAACTTTCTTTTTCATTTAGCTTGCTCTCACATGCTTAGGATTAATCTTACTGTATATATCTCCAGCTAATTTAAGGATATAATCCTGTGCTATTTTCGTTTTAACATGTTGACCTGTTTACCTTTTTATCTTAGTTTGCAGTGTTTATACTGTGAAAAAGTCTTCAGAGACAAAAACACACTTAAAGATCACATGAGAAAGAAGCAGCATCGCAGAATCAATGCCAAAAACAAAGAATATGACAAATTTTATATCATTAATTATTTGGTAAGTGGTTCTATGAATAATTAGTAAATTGACTAAAGAGATACAGACAATATCTTGTTAAAAGTGAGTAATTCCAAACCAGCAATTAGTACAAAGGTCAAAAATCAAGTGAAGGACTCTGAAGAAATATGCTCATTTATGGTATGATATTCTGGATAGTTGTTAAACGAAGGAATAGTAAACATTTGTTGTTGAGAATTGATTTTGAGAGACGCAAGAATGCAGCTTGAAAGATGCTAATCATCATGTCATTAGTGCTCAGACTCTGCTTTAATAACTAGAAGGGAAAATGAGATAGAGTAATGAAGTAAATGAGGTCTAACTTGAATGCTATTGGCTTTTAGCTTGTTTTCTGCAAACCCTAAGCTGGAAGTGCTCTTCAGAGTATAAATTAAATGCAAAGAGGAGGAAAATGAAAGATACGTAGATGAAACAAAAAGTAGGTGTTCGTTTTTAGCCTCCAGGTACGTGTATGTTGCTAGGTATTAATATTTTTTATCTCAGACCTTTGAGAGTGTGTATGCATGTGTGTGTAACAGATTTTCACTTGCTGTCTTCAACTCATGAATATAGGAGCTGCTTCAAAAGCTGCTACATTCTGTGCCAGAAATAACTATATTTCACCTGAACTAGTCTTTGTGCCTTCTACATGTGTTAATATCCAGGTTATAAATAGGCATCCTTGACTGTTTTACCTAC